TATTAACAGTTCCGAAAAGAATGACGTGATCATGACTCCCGAAATGTGGAGAACGTGGACGCAGGAGATCGTGTGGACAATGAGGAACAACCCGGATCTGAACAATCCTGAGGCGGATGAAGAGGCCATCGATCGCGTTCCCTTTATTGAGTATGGCTTGGTGGGGGAGAGAGGCAGGGAGGGAGGGAGAGGGGAAAAGGGAGAAAGGGAGAGAGAGAAAAAAAATGAAAATGAGAGAAAGAGTGAGAGAGAGAGAGAGAGAAGGGAGAGGGAAATGGAGAGGAGTGAGAAAATGAGAGAGAGTGAGAAATGATGAGAGAGAGAGAGAGAGAGAGAGAGAGATAGGGAGAAAAAAAGAGAGAGAGTGAGAAAATGAGAAGAGAGAGTGAGAAAATGAGAGAGAGAGAGAGAGGGAGAGAGAGGGAAAAAAAGAGAGTGAGAAAATGAGATGAGAAGTGAGAGAGGGTGTGAGAAAAAGATATATAGAGAGGGAGAGAGGGAGAAAGTGAGAGAGAGAGTGTATGTGTCTGCGAGGAACAGAGAGAGAGAGAGAAAGTGAGACAGAAAGAGAATGAGGAAAAGAGAGAGAGAGAGTGAGACAGAAAGAGAATGAGGAAGGGAGAAAGTGAGAGATAGAATAAGGAAGAGAGAGAGAGAGAGAGTTATCACCATTATATCTATTCCTTGTATTTCTCATAAGAACGCTTTCCATCATTTTCTAAGACCCCTACACCTTTTCACATTACCATTAACCATACATCTGTACCATTAATTAAAACTACGCACACCCTTGAATATATTAGTTCACGAAATACCCTTAGATTCTTTTATTTAAACTTATCCTTAAATATGAATTAACATTTAAACCTAACTGTCAAGACATATTCTTTCACAGAAATATCCATACCCATCAACAATGGATAGGCCTATATCCAGATAATTCATATTAATAAATATTCTTAGAGACGCCTGAACTATCTCCCTCATCCTCATCCTTATCCTTATCCTCATCCTCCTCATCCTCATCCTCCTCATCCTCATCCTCATCCTCATCCTCATCCTCCTATCATCCTACTCACCTTTATCCTCCTCACCCTCCTTCAGCGTTGACATGTTCATGCCCGTCTGCGAAGAAATGGTCTCGATCTCCAAAGCCTTCAGGAGACTGTGTCCTGAAGCCGATCTTCGCGAAGGGGAGATCATCCAGCTGGCGGAGGCGATGGCGAGTCCACGAACGCTGAAGACGCACTTGCCTTTCTCTCTCGTTTCTCCCGAGGTCATGGATCAGGCGAAGGTAAATGAGGTAGAGGGGGATTTTTTTTTCTTTTTTTTTATCTTGCTTTTATATTTTTTCCCCTTTCTTTCTTTCTTTTCTTTCTTTCTTTCTTTCTTTCTTTCTTTCTTTCTTTCTTTCTTTCTTTCTTTCTTTCTTTCTTTTTTCTTTCTTTCTCTTTCTTTCTTTCTTTTTTCTTTCTTTTCTTTCTTTCTTTCTTTCTTTCTTTCTTTCTTTCTTTCTTTTTTTCTTTCTCTCTTTTTTTCTTTCTTTCTTTTTTCTTTCTTTTTCTTTCTTTCTTTGTCTTTTTTCTAGGGGGAGGTTAGGTTAGGTGTGGTGCGTTTTCGTTTTGTTTTTATTTTTGTTTGTCTCTCTTTCTTAACATTATTTATTTTCTTTCTATTTCGTTTGTTTTTTGTAAAAGGAGAGTGAGTTTCTGGTTCACTGTGCCCTTTGATCATGGTGGTTGTTAGTATTGTTTATTATTATGATTTTATGCATTAAAGGCATATCTCTGAGAATATATATCTTGGTATATTCTTCGTTACAATACAGAGAAAGAAGAGGGAAAAGGCAAATAGTAAATAACAAGAAGGAAAAAAAATAAAAGCATAAGTGGGAGAACCGTTTTCAAAATAATGTTTTTTTTCAACAGGTGGTTTACGTGGCCAGGAACCCGAAGGACACGATGGTCTCCTACCTGCACCACCACCGCCTCTTCCGCGAGCAGGAATTCGTGGGTTCCCTCGAGGAGTTCGTCGATTATTTCGTCAGAGATGATTGTAAGTGAATTTCGATTTGGAGAAGGGAAAGGAAAGGAGGGATACGTTCCCCCAGGCGTTGTAGTTTTATCGAGTGCGACTCTGTATCTCTCTCTTCTCTCTCTCTTTCGTCTCTATTCTCTCTCTCTTCTCTCTCTCTCTATCTCTCTCTAGTTCTCTCATTTTCTCTCTCTCTCTCCTCTCTCTCTCTATCTATTTACTATTCCTATCCTCTATCTATCTCTCTCTCTCTCCTTCTCTCCTCTATCCTATCTCTATCTTTCTCCTATCTATCTATTCTCTCTATCTATATCTATCTATTCTATCTCTATCTCTCTCTCTCTCCTCTCCTCCTCTCATCTATCCTCCTCTCCTCCTCCTCTCCTCTCTCTCTCTCTCTCTCTCTCTCTCTCTCTCTCTCTCTCTCTCTCTCTCTCCTTTTATCAACCTCTCTTGATATTCCTCT